ATAATTACTCAAAGAATTATATATACTTGCATAATTCTGAAGAATTATTTAATCAAATATTGAAAAGTTTGAAGAGATGTCAAAATGTCCAAAATGTCAAATGGTAATGTCAAAACTCTAATGAAACCTTAGAGAGGAGATCAAATAGGTCACAGACCAAAAAGAACTAGTAACAAGGAAGACAGACAATGCTGAAGAAAAAGATGACTGCAAAAGAGATGAAGAGTGAACACAGATCTCTCTGAGAATATCCTATATTAGCCAGATTGTCGCTGCTGCCCAAATTCATGTACTCTGTTTTCTGCAGGATGATGGGATATTAACAGCTTCTAGTATTGCTTACAGAAGGTTGATTCCAGGCCTTTTTTCCTTCCTAAGTCCCTTTTGGGTAAGAGCTGGAGTTCATCTACAGATAACGAAATAAAAAGAATGAATTTGAGGGCCGGCCCTGTGGCTTGGTGGTTAAGTGCGCGCGCTGCGATGCTGGAGGCCCGGGTTCTGATCCCGGGCGTGCATCGAGGCACCACTTCTCTGTCCATCCTGAGGCCGAGTCCCACATACAGCAACTAGAAGGATGTGCAGCTATGACATACAACTATCTACTGGGGCTTTGGGGGGAAAAAAAAAAAAGAATGAATTTGAATAATAAACAAGCAGTAAGCAACATAGGTACAATTAATATTAGGAAATGGCTGCAACTGGGAAGGCTCCAATAAACTTGTTCTCTCTTCCTACAGCACTCCCTTTTAGTTCAATTTGATACAAATACTCTTTTCATATTCAGAGTGGACAATGTCCCATTGTTTTAGCCTTTTCATAACCTTTAAAAAATTATAGAGAAAAAACCCACTTTGACAGAATCTGCGTATACATTCTGAAATTCTATGGTACTCACTCAAAGCAGTCAACTATTGGTCTCATTAAGTGTTGTTATCTAAGGATAGAATGGTTCGTTAAACTTACAATTAAGCTTATGGATCAGTAGATAAAATATGTGAATGTGTTAGTTTTCTGCTATTGCATAACAAATTGCCACAAATTCAGTGGCTTAACATAACACATATTTCTTATCTCATAGTCTGTGGCACAGCCTAATCAGGTTCTTTGCTCAAGATCTCACAAGACTGCACTCAAGGTATTGGGTGAGGCTGTGGTCTCATCTGGCGCTTCAACTGGGGAAGAATCCACTTCCAATCAGATGTTGGCAGAATTCATTTACTTGTGGTTGTTAAGTCCCTGGTTTCTTGCTGGCTATTGACTGGAAGACTCCCTCCACTCCTAGAGGCTGCCTGCAGACCTTTGCCACGTGTGCTTTACGACACGGCCATTTACTTCATCAAGCCAGCACGGAGAGTCTCTAGAACAAGTCTGTAATCATGAGAGTGACATCTCATTACCTTTACCACATTTTATTCGTTAGAAGCAAATCACAGGTCTGATTTTTACTCAAGGGGAGAGGATTACACAAGGTTGTGAACACCAAAAGACCTAAATCGTGAAGGGCTACCTTAGAGTCTGTCTGCACAGTAAATATTCAATTACTAAATATTAAGATTTTCTGAAAGGATGTATATTCTTCTCAATAGTTAAGTAGCAACACCTGATGGCCATGGACTCTAAGCTGCAATGACTGTTGTCCTCTAATGCTCTCTTATACCTCTGTGATCTGTATTTCTGCAGTTTAACTTGGAAAAGATCCACCTTCTCAGGCATCAGTACCTGCAAATGCAGTAGAAGCAGCAACCAAGCCATTTTCTGAAGGGCATCTCAGCAGACACTAGGTCACCTCAGAGAAGGACCAAAGAGGCTTCCCTCCTTTCTGCACGCAAAAGTAGTGAAGTATGTGTAGCAGAATCCTTTCTGTTAAACCAAACTATGTTTTCATCTGAGGGGAAGGCAAAACAACCAAACACCTAACTAGAATAAATTCATCCATTGGCTTGTGAGTAATATAGACTTACTATGGCATCAACTTCATTTTGTTTTCACCTTATATTTTTTATATTTATATTTTCTATATATTTATATTTTTATACCTCATATTTCTTCAAAAAATATTTGTTTCTAATCTTTTCATGGAAATTTTACATATAAGAGCTTCATGACTGGCTTTACATGGATCCAGCTCCAACCTTGTTTCGTCCTTGAAAACATCCTCAAGTGCCAAGGAAACCAACAATCTGAAGTAGGGAAAGACTCCAGCCCCAACAATACCGAGATTGCTAATGAAAAAGACTTGACTGGCTGAAGCTGCCCGAGATTTCTGGGCGTCACCGTTATGTGGTTGTGCTTTGGTGCTCTGAAATAATGGTACTTGAATCTCAGGTTCATGCATCACCATCTGAAAAGAGGAAAAAAAATCCTGAAGATACAAAATACTGAGGAGAAGTGAGGGTACTACCTCATTATCCATAAAATATGCTTTTATTTTAATGCTGCAATATAATTCTTTTTCCTTCTAATAATTAGTGTTGTTTAGTCTTATGCACTCAAATTTTTATTTGATGGCTTAATGCGAGAAAATCTCATTTTGCTTTGAAATTCCAGTTTTTGTGAAACTGTTTTCTCTGTAAATAATGGGTTTCCTTATTCCTTCTGAAATACACTTATTGTCTATAATAGAGACTCAGCGGAGTTTTGGTGTTGTGCAGAGGGAAATGCACATAGGGCAGCAGCATATCGCCCTGGACGTGTTAAAGTCTGAATCGGAAACATTCTGAGGAATATAACGGGTCAGAAATGAAATAATTAGATATTACTATACACATAAGTTTTGTGTTTACTTGACCCCTTCATAACAATTGGTGCAATTGACAACTTTCTTCTAAAACACAGAACAAACAAAAATAACCTCTCCTTTATTCTGGAATACTATATGTCACATATGCCATCTTGTTGCACTTAATGGTCTTCTCTTTTTTTAAATCTACCTTTAATCCCTTACATTTTTTTCAGGTTGTATCTATGGTCTTTACCAGCATTTAAATCCTGGCTCTGCTACATTCAAGCCATACAAACCAGTCCATATGCTTCACCTCAGAAAGCCTCAGTTGCCCCGTCTATATAATGGGGCTAGTGACAGCATCTACTTAATTGTGATGTGATGATTAAATTGACAGCACACATAAAGCACAATCCTAGACAGTGCTTGGCCCCTGATAGGCCTCTTGTATTCCCCTCTTTTCACCTGTTATCACCCTCAGAGACCTCGTCTCCCCCATAGCTTTAACAATCACTGCATTGGGATGATGCCCGAATTGAAATACGTAACCTTGGCATCTCACCTGAGCTCCACTCTTGCGTCTTCAACTCCGTGGTGGGCATTTCTCTCTGACAGTTCAGTTGCCCCTCAACAACAGTATCTCTGAAATCAATCTTATCATCCTATTCTCCTTTAAAAAAAGACTCTGGAAAACATTTGGCAGGTCCTCAAAAAGTTAAACATAGAGTTACTATATGATCCAGCAATTCTGCTCCCGGGTATATATCCAAGAGAACTGAAAACATATACCCACATAAAAACTTGTACATAAACGTTCATAGCAGCATTATTCATGATAGCCAAAAAATGCAAAGAACCCACATGCCCGTCAACTGATGAATGGATAAAGCATGGTATAACCATGTGATGGAATACTATTCAGCCATAAAAAGGAATGGAATACTGATACATGCTATAACATGGATGAACCTTGAAAACACACTAAGTGAAAGAAGCCAGACACAACATCCATATATTATATGATTTCATCTACATGAAATATCCAGAATAGGCAAAACCACAGAGACAGAAAGTAGCTTAGTGGTTGTCAGGGCCAAGGGAGGGGAGACGGAGTAATCAGGAGGTGACAGATAATGAGTACAAATTTTCTTTTTGAGGTGATGAAAATGTTCTGGAATTAAATAGTGCCAATGGTTGTACAACATTGTAAACGTGCTGAAAACCCCTGAAATATATACTTTAAAAATGTTAAAATGGTAAATTTTATATGAACTTTAAAAGAAGGAAAAAAAGGCAACCTCTGCGGACAGAACAGTGACATTAGTCCATGAAAGCAAGGGGAAATGAACCAGAGATGCAGAAGGGGGTCTTTGATCTCCAGCAAACCAAGGCACTCACTCATGGCACCAGAACAGGTCCCTAAGGGGTTGTCTCTACGCTCACTTCCAAGTAGGATTCAGAATCTGACCCCCGACTTTCGACTAAGTGGGTCCTTTATGCAGCTTTGCTGAAATATATTCAAATCCAAACCTAAAGACGAAACAAAGGGGGGGAGATTGAAGGGTGAAAATAGCCAAAGGGAGGACTTGAAATGGAAAAGAAGTTCCTCAGGGGACATGTTTACTGTATTCTTTATTGCCAGGTTCAACTGGAAGGGTAAAAAATCACCTGCTCTGAATACATTTAATATTTCCAAGGTATTTTCTGTTTATGTCATTCTCTTCCTCCCTGCTTTTTCCTCTTTTGATTAACTTTTGACCATCAAGGCAAATAGGATTTCTGGAACTTTACAACATTTTACAAATAAGGCAAAATCCAGTCCTCACAAGGACTCTGCTTGAAGTCAGGTTCTTTGAAGGTAGCCTGTCAGATGATCTGATTAGAGGTGATGAGAATATTTCAGGGAGTTAAGACATGCTGTACCTATCTCTGACAAAATTTTATTAATCCTCTGGTTTTGGAAAAGTTCCCATGAAAAGGACCTGGGAGAAAAAAATTCCCAAATCGCCCCCTCAGACTGTGGAACAGATCTTAATAGCCACTAAGTCAGGGAGTCCATGTGTTCCCACAGATGGCTGTTGAAAAATGAATCAGACTTATCAATTTGAGAAAACAGAAAGAAAAGAACAAAGAAAGTAGAACTTCATGATTTAGCCAGACTTTGTTCAGGGTCTCAGGAATGGCCCAAGTCAAATCATCTGGAGTTAGCTTGCCCTTCTCAAGCTCTTCTCTCCTCAACCTCAATTTTTATAACTGACAGTGTTTCCAAAAGGGCAACCACTGCCCTCTGATCCTCTGTTGTACACCACGTGATCTGAAAGCGATGAGGAAAAGCTGATACATCCCACCTGGTTGTTATTAGTCTGCTAGGGCTGCTGTAACAAAGTACCACAAACCTAGAGGCTTAAACAACAGAAATTTATTGTCTCACAGTTCTAGAGGCCAGAAGCCCAAAATCAAGGTGTCAGCAGTGTTGATTCCTCCTGAGGGCTGTGAGGGAAGGTTTTTTTCCAGGACTCTCTCCCTGGCTTGTACATGAGCATCTTCTCTCTGTGTCTCTTTGCATCATCTTCCCTCCTCTTGTGTCTGTCTTCACGTCCAAATTTTGCCCTTTTTTTCATGAGGAAGATTTTCCCTGAGCTAAGATCTGTTGCCAATCTTCCCCTTTTTTTTGCTTGAGGAAGATTAGCGCTGAGCTAACATCTGTGCCAATCTTCCTCTACTTTGTATGTGGGACGCCACCACATCATGGCTGATGAGTGAAGTAGGTCCATGCCCAGGATCCGAACCCACAAATCTGGGCTGCTGAAGCGGAGCATGTGAACTTAAGCACTATGCCACAGGGCTGGCCCCCAAATTTCCCCTTTTTATAAGAATATTTGTTGTATTGGATTAGGGCTGACCCAAATGATCACATTTTAACTTGATTACCTCTGTAAAGACCCTATCTCCAAATAAGGTCACATTCTGAAGTATTGGAGGTTAGCACTCCAACATATCTTTCTGGGGGGGACACAATTCAATCCATAACACTGGTCTATGCAACTTAATGAAGAGCTGAGGGAGAGGCCCTTTCTCTTAACATCTAGGAAACCCTCTGTTGGAGTTGGACCTAGGGGAGTTTAGTTCTGGGCCAACCAGGAGGGACTGGGACCAGGGGCTATAGGATGGTTTGAGAAGAAGAGTGTGCAGAGAACTGGAGATAAAAAGATGTGTGGATTCACCAGGAATCCTGAACACAAATCTGCAATCAGAGGACCTGGAGTCTGGCCAAACCGACTTACATAGGCAAAGATCAGAGTCTGCGTTCCTAGCATAGATCATAGATGCTCAGCAAAAATCTGCTGAAGTGAAAAGAAATACAGAAGACCAAGCCGGGCACAAATGCAAGACAAATGCAAGATGGGATTATATCAACTAGGAGGTCTCAGCTATACACAAAAGAAACTGACTCTGGCTGCCTTAAACAGAAAACAAATTCCTTAAGAGAATATCGGGGGGTTGGCCCCGTGGCCTAGTGGTTGAGTTCAGTGTGCTCCACTTTGGCAGTGTGGTTTCAGTTCTTGGGTGTGGACCTACACCACTCATCAGCGGCCATGCTGTGGCAGCGACCCACGTACAAAATGGAGGAAGACCAGCATGAATGTTAGCTCAGGGCAAATCTTCCTTAAGCAAAAAGAGGAAGATTGGCAACAGATGTTAGCTAAGGGTGAATCTCCCTTAGCCAAAAAAAAAGAGAGAGAGAATATTGGGAATACAAGGAAACTTGTGGGGGTGAGTAACAGCTTTATCATCTTGCTTGTGGTGGTGGTTTTACAGGTGTATACATATGTCAAAGCTTATCAAATGGTACACTTTAACAAGCATTTGATTGTATGTCAGTTGTACCTCAATAAAACTCTTTTTTAAAAAAGGATATAGAAAAGTTCTGCCCACTGATTCTGGGAGCATAAATTGGCACAGTCACTTTGGAAAATGATTTGGCTGTATCTATGAAAGCTGAACAAATATATATCCTATGACCTACCATTTCCACTCCTAAGTAACTACACAATGGAAATGCACCCAAATCTTCATCAAAAACATGCACCAGTATGTTCATAGCAGCACTATTCATATTAATCAAAAATGTAAATTGCTTAAATGCCCATCAACAGTTTAATGGTGTGCAGAAATGGTTAACTCTGCAAACCTGAACTACTCAGACCCTGTACATTCCCAAAGTCTTCAGGACTGGCCCTTGGCCTGGCTCCTGGGAGAAGATCTCTGAGCCCTTGAAATATCCTGTCTGAAAAGAGGGTCTTTGTATGCCTAAAGCAGTTAGTTTAAGCTAATAACATGATTTATGTGAATGCCTGTTTTTGCATGCCTGTGGCTTTGGGTCATGCACAATGTATCAGTTTCATCTATGGGGGGCTGGAAACTGAGCAGGTAGGTCAGTCATGTGGGCACTGCATGCCTATGTGACTGACCTCCAAAAATAACAACCCTGGACACCAAGGCTTGGATGAGCTTCCCCAGGTGGCAACACTAAGCACACATTGTCACACATTCTAGCTAGAAAAATTAAACACTGTGCATGTGACTCTACTGCAAGAGGATAACTAGAAGCTTGCACCTGGTATCCTCTGGACTCAGCCCTATGCACCTTTTCCCTTTGCTGATTTCAATCTGTATCCTTAACTGTAATAAACTGTAACCATGAGTATAACAGTTTTCCTGAGTTCTGTGAGTTTCTAGTAAACCATTGAGCCTGAGGGTGGTCTTGGGGACCTCTGACACAAATGGATAAATATATTATAGTATATTTATAAAATGGAAGCTACAACTACACAAAACAATAGGGATGAATCTCACAAGCATAATGTTGGACATATACAAAAGAATATGTGGTATGATTCAATTAGTATAAAGTGGAAAATAAAAAAAACAGGCACAACTAATGTATGATGTTAGGAGTCATTATTGTGGTTATCCTTGGATGGTAGAGGGTAATGGCTGGAGGAGGAATAAGGAAGCTTCTAGGATGTTAGTAATATTCTGTTTCTTCATCTGGGCACTGGTTATAAACATGTGCTCAGTTCATGAAAGTTCAGCTTATCATAAACATGTGTTCATTTTGTGAAAAATCATTACTTATGTGTGCGTGTATACACACACATACATACATATGTGTGTGTATACACATTATACTTCAATAATACAAAATGTTAAAGAATATTGGATGGCATGCAGCATCTCTAGAAAGACTGGACAACCAAACTAGCATGCTACACAGCTGGAAAAGAACCCAACATTTCACCACAGAACAGTTCTAGCAAAAACCCCACTGCTACACTGCTGAGTACCAGAAGGCCATCTGCTTGGCCATCATTACCATGGCCACTAGGAATGCTGCCTAAAGAATGGTGCTGCTGCTGCTTCCTCTCCCTAGAATGAACTTAGTGTGGTCTCTGATTCTTCCCTGTACCTGCTTCTTCTTTAAAGTCTAGAACAGGTGTGAGTATTCGTCATGGTCATTGGGCTAGGGCTAGATCATGGACTTTCATCCCAGCAGCAAGGATGCTAGAGAAAAATGAGTCTGGCATTTGCAATTTCTATGATGGGAGACAAGGTCTGCCTTATTAGAAGAAATTACAGAAGCTAGGTAGTCAAAATAATGAGAAATGTCCACTAAAGATGCTTTGCATGTGGAGATCTAAACCAGTTCAAAAAATGTTTATTGAGCCCCAACTATGTGTTAGGCATGAAAACATTTGATCCTCACAATTGCTCTGTGAGATAGTATAGACCCCAGAAATCCTCAAGGTCTTCCTTGAGGATTCAGCTGAGCACTGATCTGTCCATGCATGGTCTAAAAACTATCTAAGGCTACAGAAAAACATCTAAAAGGATTAGAGAACAGTACCTGGTGTTCACACAAGGCCAAGAATATTACCTTGCCAGACAGGAAGAACTCATAAATCACAGGGCTATGAGTAGAAAATTCAGAAAGGTCTTGTCTCAGTAGAATAGAAAATTCAGAAAGGTCTTGTCTCAGTAGCAGGAAATAATTAGCTTTAGTTGAACACAGCTATATGCCTACCTAGTAGATCATAAAAGCAAGACCCAAAAAGATCCAACTCTATCCTAGTAACTTCACATTCCAGAATAAAGCTCAAGAATATTTATGGGAATACAAAAATATCCAGCATCCAACTAGATAAATTTTACAAAGTCTGGCATCCAAACAAAGATCACCAGGTAGACAAAGAAGTAGGAAAACATAACCCATAATGAGGAGACTAATCAATTAATTGACACTAACTCAAAATTGACATAGATGTCAGAATTAGAAGATGAGGACACTAAAACAGTTATTATAACTATATTCCATACATTCAAAATGTGAAGTAGAGACATGGAAAATATAAAAACATAATAAAAGACCCAAGCAGAACTTCTAGAGATGAAAACTATGACTGAGATGAAAAATACACTGGCTGGGATTAATGACAGATTAAACACAGCAGAATAAAAGATTAGTGAATAGAAGACATAGCAATAGGGGGTATACAGAGTGAAACAGGGAGAAAAAAGAATACAAAAAAAATGAATCGACACACTGTGGGACAACTTCAAGTGGCCTATTGTACATGCCACTGGATTCCTTGAAAGTGGAAGGCGCAAAAAAGGTTTGAAGAAATAATGGCCAAAAAATTTCCAAACTATGATAACTATAAACTCTCAGATTCAAGCTCAATGAACAGTAAGCAGAAGAAACATGAAGTAAACAACACCAAGACAAGTTGCTCATAACCAGTGATAAAAAGAAAAATCTTAAATGATTTGGAGTGGTAGGAGAGTGTTTCAGAGTCATTGGACAGATCTGGGACTGTGTTCTGGAAACAATGTTTTTATTACCTTTTATTTTTTTTCAGTGAGGAAGATTTGCTCTGAGCTAACACCTATTGCTAATCTTCCTCTTTTTTTTGGTGAGGAAGATTGGCCCTGAGCTAACATCTGTGCCAATCTTCCTCTCTTTTGTATGTGAGTCGCTGCCACAGCATGGCTTGACGAGTGGTGTATGTCCGTGCCGGGGATCTGAACCCGCGAATACGGGCCACCAAAGCAGAGTGCATCGGACTTGACCACTACGTCACGGGGCCAGCCCCAGTTTTTATTATCTTTTTAGATCTTTTTAAAACCATATGCACTCTAGAAAGATTAGATTAGAAAGGAAAGAGTCAGGACGCAAAGAGACAAGTTAGGAAGGTTTTACAGTAATCCAATGAGTTCAGTGGACCTGAACTAGGGTTGTGATATAGAGATGAAAGTAGGACACATTTAGGAAGTAAAATTGACAGTACTTGGAGACCGTATGTGAAGGTAAAAAACAGTTCTTGCTGCGAACTGGTAGATGGTATCAAAATTCATTGAGCTAAGGGGGAAGACAATGATTTTTTTTTTTTTGAGATCAGCCCTGTGCTAACATCTGCCAATCCTCCTCTTTTTTTGCTGAGGAAGACTGGCCCTGGGCTAATATCCATGCCCATCTTCCTCCACTCTATATGGGACACCGCCACAGCATGGCTTGACAAGCGGTGCATCGGTGTGCGCCCGGGATCCGAACCTGCGAACCCCGGGCCGCCGCAGCGGAAAGTGCGCTCTTAACTGCTTGCGCCACCGGGCAGGCCCGGAAGACAATAATTTAATTTCAGACATTTTGAGTTCGAGGTGCATATAGGCTCTTCCTTTAAACCTGGGAAAGATGTCCTGGCGTACAGATCCAGGTTTGGGAGTCATGAACACATAATCTAAATGTCAAGTCCTCTAGCCTTCCTGTGACATCCTTACCTTTAGTATGCAAATAAAATGGCCTGAATTTCAATCCCATGCACGCAAATACAAGAAGTCTGGGCCCACCAAACATTCCTCTTGCCTCTGGGCAAGAGGCTAGGAGCCAAACCTCTGAGAAGGGAGTACTAGCCATCTGGTACTCTTGTCTCTGGACTTGGAGGAGAGTCCTGGGGGCTGAGACTCAGACCTCTGAGGAGAGGGCCCTGGCTGACTGTGCTGGTATCTCCAAGAGGGACAATAAGGCTGATTCTGAGCATGTTGGAAAAACTGCAAGCTGGATTCAACCTCTACTATAGAAATAAACTGCTGCTGCCAATGTGTTGCTGCCAGGGTGAAGAAGTATTGCTGCTATGACTCAAGAACGGGAAGCAGAACTGAAACAGAAAGGAGCAAGTCCCTTTTTATTCCTTCAAACTTGCAATTGCCCTCCATTAGCAAAGCCCAATGGGGAGCAGCTGGCGAAGGGGAAAAGTGATCTGTAGAATCCCAGCATCACTAAGTAGAGTTTAGAACGATGTGTTTGGAGTCGAGAGACAATTACTTAATAACTGGCGCAGCCTGCCTGGGAGGAAAGGGGGTACCTTATTGTTCTTTTCTTATGGCTCTGATCAGGAACTGTGGTTCCAAGGAACGGTTGTGTTAAGTCTTGCTTGGTGATCTCATGGAGATGTGTTTTCAGAAGGGAAGGCAGAATATGACTTCTGTCATAAGTGATCCCTCCTCTTCTAGATACAAGGTGAACTCGGTGCATTTGAGAAAAGAGAGGGAGAGAGAACCTAAGCTAGGACAACACTGAAAAGCTGTTGTCCTGTAAAATTCTTTTAAAATGTGTTCTTTAGCTCTTACATGTTTAAGATATGCACCCCTATGTTCATTACAGCATAATTAACAATAGCCAAGCCTTGGAAACAACCTAAGTGCCCATAAATGGGTGAATGAATAAAGAAGATGTGGTATATATATGCAATGGAATACTACTCAGCCTTAAAAAGTGATGAAATCTTGCCATTTGTGACAACATGGATGGACTTTGAGGGTATTATGCTAAGCGAAATAAGTCAGACAGAGAAAGCCAAATACCATATTATTTTACACATATGTGAAAGATAAAACAACAATAACAAACCACATAGACACAGAGAATAGATGGGTGGTTACCAGAGGAGAAGGGGAGTCGG